CGATCTGGTCTCTGGAAACAAAAGGCTGACATGGGTGAGGGGGGGTGTCTGATGGTGGTAGGCTTGCACTGAGATATTTGGAATGGGGGGCTGACACTGTGGGGCTCTGGGGATGGGAGGCTAGCACTGGGGTGGGTTGGGTGCAGGGGACTCGGGTTCAGTGGCTGGCACTGGGGCATAGTGGAGGGGTGGGATGCTCTAGGGCAGTGGTCCCCAGCCTTTTGAGGTTGTTGGGCGCCAGGGGGCGTGGCCGTTCGCCCGCCGGGTGCCAGGGGGCGGGGACACTTGCGCGCCCGGGGCCAGCGCTCCCCCTGCCAAGCGCCGCGCGCCCGGGGCCGGCGCTCACCGTGCGCCATGTGCCTGGGGCCAGGCCAGCCCCGAGCACCTGGCGGGCGCATGCAAATGCCCCTGCGGGCGCCATGGCGCCCGCGGGCACCGTGTTGGGGACCACGGCTCTAGGGGTTAGGGCTGGCACTGGAGGATTCGGGGGCTGAGATGTACCCCAGCCCCCAAACCTGCCACCCTAACTTCAGCTGCAGCAGCTGCATGCCACGTGGTGACTGCCGGAGCTGAAGCCAGCTGTTCACGGTGGATCTGGGAGCCGGGCCTTTTGGCAGACAAGAAACATTTTATTTGCATATTTATTATTTGCATAATAATTTCCACCAAAAGTTGGTGAATGGTATTGCCAATCTGTGGTATAAAAAAGGGTTGGGAACCATTGTATTGGAGGCTGGGTGCACAACTCATCTAGATATTTGCCTGCTTTAACAACAAGCTACGGAAAAGCACAAGGAAAGTCAGTATAAACTAAAATTTCATACAGACGACTTGCTTATACTGCTCTATATACACAATAATAAAAGTACAATATTTATATTCAACTGATTTATGTTTTAATTATATAGTAAAAATGAGAAAGGAAGCAATTTTTCAGTAAGTGTGTGCTGGGACACTGTTGTATTTTTATGTCTGATTTTGTAAGCAGTAGTTTAAACGAGGTGAAACTTGGGGCTACACCAAACAAATTAGACTCCTGAAAGGGGTGCCGAAGTCTGGAAAGGTTGTGAGCCACTAGCTTAGCACTCTCCATCTGCTGAGCTCAGCAACCCTGTCAATACACCCACACAGCACCCTTTGCTACTCCACAATGGGGTTCCCATGCAGCTCTGCCGATGCATGCGACTACTGATCTGTAACCTCCCTTACTATTCTGATGCCAGCCCCAACCCATAGAGCTTTGCCCATCTGCCCCAATCCAGTTGGAAAGTCCTCCTGCTACTACAGTCCTCTCTAATCCCACAGCTCCAGCTGATGTCCCTCATTCTTACCCCACAGCCTCTAAACTCTGTTATTAAAGCCCTGGCAGGCTTTTCATGAGCAGTGACAATCACTCCGAACTCTGCTGGACAAATGTTCCAGGGATTCAGTCTGAGAACTCATAGACTCATGACATTTGTGTTCCAATTCATGTCTGAACACAGATCCACGCAGCTGCAAGGTTTGGGTTCCACCAGCTCCAATGGGCTGGGTTCCAGTAGGGGGACAATGGGAAGACAGCTCATGTCTGAGTGAACAAAGAGATTGAATTCCCCTCTGACTGCAGAGATAAGGAGAGAGGGACTGTGCCAGAGCATGAAAGACTGTAGAGGGGATATTGAATACTGCCATAAAATTTGTTTCTGCTGAACAGCACAAACAGACCTGAGGAACCCATGAGAAATAGGGTCTCAGATCAGGCTGGTATGAGCCACCCCCTGCCAGAGGGTCCCCTAAAAGAGAGGTATGAAGGAGCAGAGGGATAGGGAACACCCACCTTAAGTATAAAGGTCCCTCCAGTGGCTGGATCCTGGATGAGCTGCACCTGCAAGCAATGGTGACAGCACAGATCAGAAACAGAGACCTCTGTCACTCCAAGTCCCATTTCGAGTGACTTGGCTCATTCTAGTCTCAAAGTTACCTCTTTTCCTTACTGTTTTGGTGTCACTAGCTACCCCTGCCCCCGATCACATTTTTAAATCACTCAACATAAATTACTTCAGAAATAGGGCGATTCGGGGGGAGAGGAGTGTAAACACACTTGCTGAGCTCCTGAGCAAGGTGTGGGGTGTCTTGCTTCATGCTCCCAGAAAGGGCAGAGCCTCAGGAGGAAGAGGCATAGGTGGGAGCAGCCAGGCCTTAGCATAGGGGGTGGGTAGATCCAGTCTGCCAGGGTTAGCCCCTGTTGGGCCCCCATACCACCATATTTACCTCTGCAGAGATTGGGGATTCCAGCTCCCATTGACCACAGATCATCACTCCCGGAGATGCAGGTAAATATGGCAGTGTGGAGGTCCACCAGGGGATAACCCTGGTGAAACGCCAACTTTTTATTGCTCACCTGTGCCTTAGCACCACCCGGAGGGCACCGCACAGGACTCCAGCGGCGATTTAAAGGGCCCAGGGCATAGTTCCTGCTAAGGTGCGTGCCCACGCACATACAAATTCATTCCCCACCCATATCCTCTGTGTGGCACTGCTGTTGAAGTAGCAGTGGCAATGGCCAGGAGCACCAGGTCCTTTTGAATCACCACCGGGCCCAGGGCAGTTACCCCTGTTGCCTACCTCTTCTCCCCATTGGCAGGTCTGAGGATGATAAGGGTTACAAGAAGTATTAGATACACTAAAGGGGAGGGGAAATCCCACAGCATTTTCAGCTTCTGCATCATTATTATATGTTCCTCCCTTTAGATCTGTGTAACATGTTCTGTCCCACCTTTGGGCCTTGGCAGTGGAGGTATATGGCTTAGGCCTCCTGGAGAGGGGCAGGGTGGAAGAAACAAAAGATAATTAATCTCATCGATCAAAATTCTGACCTTCCTTTGGGAACTAGGGCAAAGGAACCTACTGCCTTCACTCCAAGGCCTGGACATGCTGAATGTGCAGGGAAACTAACTCCGTCATCCAGAGACCTGACTTCTCCTGGGGTCTCTGGAACCTATAGGCATCCATCACCATAGCAACAGAGCATCAGCTTACAGAGGTGAAATGTAGCTATGCAGGTTGGAATTGTTTGCCAAGGTCCTGAGGCTCTTAATAATTAGGGGTTCATCAGTGTTGTTTCTCATCCAACAGTGTCCTTAGTGGCACAACACGCCTCTCCACCACTCTGGGGTCAGTACTAGCTCAGAAGAGGGAGCACCATACCCAAACCATTCTGAGCCTCCTGTCAAGGCACTGGAGCAACGCCTGTTCAGTCAGCGCTCAGCTCAGAGTGCCTCACATGCTTTAACACTCAGTTTTCCCTGGTAGGAGAAGTGCAGGTGGCTCTGTGCACTAGGTGTCCAGGCTGCTGTGACTCGGCTGCTGCTCCTTACCTTCTCAATCACCCCCACAACCTTCCAGCGCCTCAGGTTCTCCACAGCTGAGCAGAGTGTCCTGATGGGCCGAAAGCGAAGACTGCTATAGCCCTGTGAGACAGTAAGAAATGAGAATGAGGATCCTGGAGTTGCTCTTGTCCAAGGGTGTAACTGGGAGAGTTCTCCCCTTTCACCTGTGGGGAGTCATGCAAGCTGCCAACCCTAAAAGTTCAGACACCATCAGCCACTACACCCACAAGTATGGTAGCGTTAACATAAACAACTCTGGTATGGGACAGTGTCTGAATTTCTGTGTCTCTAGGGCAAAGCACCTACCTCCAGCATATATAAATTCAACATTAAGTGCACACACAGAACTGCAGGACAGCACTTACTAAGTCCTGACTCGAGGTGGAGCAGTTGCTGTTCTACATCTCTCCAACCCCCAGTCAGCTGGCTCACACCTTCTTCTCCTGCCCCAACCTGGGCTATCACTGTGCCCTTCCCAGAATCCTGCCCCACTCTTCTCTCTGCTACTCCACAGTCTTCTGCTCTCACACTCTCCCTCTTTTTCCCTTCAGTTTGCTGCACCCATGCTGTCCCCTTTTAACCTCCCTAGGCCACCAAGTCACTCCCATTCCCCAACAGTCCTGTTCCTACTCTCCCCACCTTCTCCATACTGTCTCACTGCTCCACATATTCACCTGACTCTCCAATCAGGGTCCCAGTTCCTCACATGCCCTTTAACAGAACCTCTACCCCACTGGTTTCATTCCCTGCTCCTCCACATTCCCCTGCCTCCTGTCTGGTCCACACAGGGGCATGGGGGGTTGCCATCTTAGCTGAGAACAGTCTGGCTTCAGTATCACTGGGAACAAAGAAATGGAGGCCATTTGCACTAGAGGCAGGCACGGTATGGTGTCCATCTTAACTGAGGGCAAACCATGGCTTCAGCACTTCTGAAAACAGCCATTTTTAATAAGAAGAAAATTGCAAGAAAAATTGAGGCTTAAATAAACCACCTTAAAAAAAATCACGAGTCCCAATAATTCCACAGGTCATAGTCTGATCCAACTCAGCCCTTCACCTCTGCAGCTTCATGGGGTCAGTTCCCCTTCAGCCCTCCCACACAGATACCATCAATATTCTGCAGCTGGTTCAGGACTCAGTCTTGGTTTGGGCCCAGTCCATCCATGTTGGGCCCATGCCAGGCCAGCAGGGGGTCCGCAGGAAGCCATTTTCCCAGTCCCACCTCCTCACCGTGGCAGTGGAACTCCCATTCCCCAGAGTCCGCTGCAGGTGGCAGTTAAAGATCTCCTCGGCCCGTTTTAGGTACTGCGTGATCTTCCGTTTTACAGCCTCGTGACGTTCCTTATTGGGGTCAACTGTGTGGAGGGGAAGGATGTGGCTTTAGTCACCATTCCAGCTCCTCACAAAACTCTGGCAAACATGTCTCAATGCCACATGGCTCACCTAGACACTCTACTCCTCACAGCACCCCATCCTCTCACCATATTCCAATGCCAGGCCCCCATATGCAATTTACTCCCTACAACTCTTCCCCGCAACCACATCAGCCAGTCACTGCCCTGTGCCACATGTCTTCAGTCATTAACCTCTTCTCATGTCCTCTTGCCTTACAGCTAGTGACTGACCCATTCCCATCATCCTACCCACTCTGTCCCCTAGTCATGGTGTCAGCCTCACAATCGCTGGCTGCTACCATAGAGACCCAAAGAACTCCACAGTAAAGCCATGCAGATTCTCCTCCCTTTATATACTGCCCAGATGTGCACATAATCCCCACACACTGCTAAGCATTCTGTATCACAAACCCTTCAATCTCTTATGTAGCCCACCCACAGCCTCTGAGCACTCATATGCTCCCAACTCTCCAGTAATCAGTGCACCCCAGGCTCCTGAAACTCACAAGCTACCAAGCATCAGCTTTTACATCTTACACTCCTGCCCCCCAAGCCCACCATACCCTGCACTCCGCTGAGCAGCACATCCACACCGTTCTTGTAGTGATTGAAAGCCTCCTCGTAGTCCTCGCTCACATCCCGCTCCAACGCCAGGCGGATCTGCTTTGCGGCATCCACTAGGTAATCCCGCTTCCCAGCTCCATGCACATCAGGGCCTCCTGGAGCAACGCGGCTCCGAATCTGCTCCAGGTACATTCGGGCCTGGGAGAGTGCCCGGGAGCAGGACTCTGAGTCCTGGCGCTCACGGGAGACCCTGCTCATGGCTTAGCTGCTTTCAGGACATTCTTAGCAGCTCAGGCCCTGCAATCCTGGGTGGAAAGGCAGAGGAAAAGCAAAATAAAGCCCTACAACACAACACTGGGGAGGAGTAAGGGTCACTAGAAGGGAGGGTTCTGGAAAAGTTTGAAAGGGCAGCAGCAGAAGGGCTGAGCAATAGCAGGGTACCAGGCCTTGCACATTGGCAGACTGACAGATGAAAGAAACCAAGCCTGGAATGGCCGATTAGAAGTGAAGCACTATGGCAGAGCTATTTAGGGAGCCGAGACTGGAATTATAGGATGTTAGCAGAGCTGGGTATGGGGTGTCAAGGATATGATTAGCAGAGAAAGGGTGTCTGCCTGCACATTGGGAAGAAGGGGCAGAGGCAGACCTGTGCTGGGGCACCACTGCTGCAGAAAAGAAGAAATGAAAGGCTTATCTCTGGTCTCTCATTGCTGCTGACACAGCCAGCGACCAAGCAGGAAACAGATCAGCAGCTGCAAACTGCAGGAGAGCCGCACAATGGCAAGCCTAAGCTCTGGCCCCAGGCTCATGATCAGGGTTGATCATCCCTCCACAAATATAACAAGGGGTCCCTGTGGATCTCAACACTCAGGGCCCTGGGATCCTTCCAGTGGGTTTCACTGTGGCTGAACAGGCTACCAGGACACACTGACCCCAGCAAGCACCTGCTCCCCTTTGCCTGGGGCTGCCTGAGGTTAACAGCACCAGCTACAAATGCCTGGTGCTACAGTTTGCAGGGCTTGGTGCTGGCAGGAAGCTCACATCGAGCGGCGCTGGCACAATTTGTCTGGGGGGGGGAGGCGGCTCAGAGCCACTATACCAAACTGTTAATGCAGCGTATGATGGAAACCGCTTCAAACCAGGGGATGCGGCAGCAGCCTAGTTCCCGCACCTCTCACACCGCGCAGCTCTAGGCAGGCTGCTGCTGGGGGAGCTGGCGCCGGCCTGCTAGGAGGGTGGATGGCAGCAGCGAGGCAGCTCCCCGGGCCCCCCTCTCGGCTACAAACCCGCCCTCCTCCTCCTGGAGCAGGAGCGCCAGCCCGGAGAGCGAGCCCGCCTGGTCCCGGCCGCAGAGCAAAGGGCTGCGCAGGGCCATGCAGGAGGAAGAACGGTACCTGCTGGAGTCAGGAGCCTGGGGGTGCGGACCCACCTCGCCGCCCCATGGAGCCGCGCCCCGCCGCTGGGGCCGGACGGCTTCCCCGGGCGCGGAGCGAGAGGCAGGCGCCCCGCCGCCGCCGGTTGGCTGCAGATGAGCTCATCCCCCTGCCTGCAGAATAAAGCACCAATCCTCGGCCACCGGCGGCGTCTTAAAGAGGCAGAGCCCGCGCCGGCGGCGGCGCCGAGGCAGCTCCTGCCAGGAGGGGGCGCTGGTGGCAGAGCGGGGCGATGAGAGTCTGGGTTGAAGGTCTGAGGGTGGACACACTGCACCGCAGATGGCGAACGGGGAGATCTGCCCGGGACCAGCTGGGCGGGCAGGAGGGCGTAGTGCAACCAGAGCAGCCGCAAAGAGACACACTAAGGAACGCGGGGCCGATGATAAATCTGGTGGCGGAGGAAGATCAGATCATCTATTCTAGACCCTCTCATCTGCTTGCCTCCCCTATGGTGTGTGGCTCCAGGCCACAGGACCCACGTCTGGGATCTCATGCCACCCACCAGCAGGAAATCTAAAGAAGGGTTTCTGGACAGCTGGGATTCCAGGGAACCTTGGGAGGGAGCAGAGATGGGAAATACAGCCAGGCACAACTGAGCAGCCCTGGGAGATGGGCATGCTGCTGCACAGAGACCATGGGGAGAAGGGAAATGGGATAATAGACAAGTGAACTAACTGTCCTACTGACACGCAGTAAGATTAAAAAAGGATGATGAGGACACCCATGGTCACTCTAGCTGTGACAGAATTTGTGTCAGAGATACAGGCCCCATGCTGAAACTGACAGGGTCAGGAAGAAACTTCTCCTGTGGGCAGCTGATCCCATAGCTGGATTTTTTATTTGTTTGCACCTTCCTTTGAAGCATCTGGTTCTGACCAAAGTGAGAGACCCACTGCTGTAGGTGAATTACTGCTCTGCTCTTGAGCAACAATTCCTATGTTTGAATTCTGAGGTATATTAGAGGGGAGAAAACATGGGCCTAGATTCATCCCTCATGGTGCATTAGATTGCACTCTGCTTTCCAAGCCCTGCCACAATGGTGAATAGTCTTGAGACAACTGCAGCATGAAGGTATTCAGCTATATCCGTTTATTCTGAATCCAACCTTGCCAGTGTGATTTCGTCATATTCTTAATGGAGTGGAGAGCACAAAGACACAACTCTTCAGCTGTTACCCTCCAGTTCCCAGCATGCTCTCAAGTGTCCCCTCTGCTGGCCATTTCGTTGGGAGGGAAACAGATACAGGCCTGGCTATGAAGCTCCCACCTACAACCTTGTGTGCCAGGGTGGTCTCTGAAGTGGGGTGGGAGGGCCAACACCTGCCCTATATCCCCTATGCCCCAGCCAGCCAGTGCAGAGGGATGTAAGGCAAAAGTGACTGATCATCCAGAAAGGAAAAGTGTGCGGGAGATGAGAGAGGTGGCATGTGGGGAGAAAAAGGTGAAGGGAAGCCCAGATGAGAAAGTGGAGGGCGGTCACAACCTTGGGAGGGATTAGAATTAGATTCAGAGCTGGGAAGGTGATGAAGAGGGGAGAGCACATTGGGCTACAGCATTCAGGAACCCTGTGGTTTAGAGCAGCGGTGGGGAACCTTAGGCCTGAGGGCCAGATGCAGCCCTGGGCTTACTTGGATCTGGCCCCCCAAGGCTCAGAGGCCCCCTCCCAGCATTGGGGAGCCTGCACTGGTGTTCCAGCCCCCCTGCTGCCTCACCACAGGCCTGGAGCACCCAAAATCTACTAGGCTGGGCCCTCCTAAGCTCTGGTGGGCAAGGAGAATGTGGGGAGTGTCTTTCTCCTCAGTTGGGGGCCGTGTCACTGAAGGGGGGGGGGGTTTGCTTCTCACTTGTGTGCAGCCCCTGACTGATTTTTCTGTGGGTCAAGAGCCTTTGTCCCCAAAAAGGTTCCCCACCCCTGGGTTAGAGCCTCAGAAAAAGTGAAATGAATGAGTTGCATTGGAGTTAACTGAGGCATTCAACTCCGTACAGGGTGTGGGGTGTGCGGCCACAACTCCCTTAGGCCTTTCTGCACTACAGAGTGAACATGACTTGGACAGATAGCTCAATTAAAGCTAACACGATGATTTGCATTTACACTTGCATCCACACTTGTGGATTGTTCAGTGTATTCTATATTCAGGTCATTCTATGGGTTGTTCAGTTGCTGCTCTGGGGCAACAGTAAATTGTTAAGTGCTCTGACTTATGAGCAAGCATCTCAGTTCCTGGGTCATGTAACTTCTGCATGGCCTTAGCTGCCAAATCTCTCTCCTCTGAGGCTACATCTAGACTACAGGCTTCTTTTGGAAGAGATCTTCTGAAAAAACTTCTTCTGAAAGAGAACGTCCACACTGCAAAAGTGCATCAAAAAAGTGATCTGCTTTTTCAAAAGAGTGAGTCCAGACTGAATGGATGCTCTCTCACATGTAAGCTGTGATTGTTATGGACGGAATGGCCACCAGGGCACCTGTGCTTTTTTCTCTTTCCTCTTCTTCCGAAAGAACTCCTTCCCCATCCACACATGCCTTTTCCCAAAAGTGCTCTTTTGCAAAAAGGCTTCTTCCTTGTAGAATGAGGATTACCAATACTGGAAAAACCCCTCTGTTCTTTTGATTTTCTTGCAGCAGAATGCAATTGCAGTGTGGACGTTCCTCTGTAGTGTACACATACACTGAGGTTGCAGGCTAGAGAGGCTGAGGTAGAGGCTGACCTTCCTTTAATGCAAATGGAGCCCTCCAGGCCCTTAGGGGAGCCCCCAGCAACTCCTGGCCCAGCAGGTAGAAAAGGAAAAGCAGGGAACAGGGCAGCAGCCCTGGCAGGTTGTGCTGTAGGGAACAGGGGAGAGGCACAGGCTGTGAAGAAACTCCAGCCCCAGAAGGAGTAGGTAAGACCAGGTGTTGGGGACATGGGACAGATGCATTCTCACAAATACTTCTGGATGTCACTATGATAAGATTTTATTCAGGACTTAGCTTGAAAATCGCTGTGCTGCAGCCAAGGTACTGGGGGTGTCATGTCATACAGTTTGGGACTCTCTATCACACCCTAACCCACCCAGGGAACTTCCACAGCGAATAAGTCCCAGGTCACCTGCCTCCATGCTTCACTGCAGCTTCTCTACTTCTTTCCTGCGCCAGAATTTGGATTCCCCACAGGGGACCAGGTTTCTTCCTTCATGACTGTGTGGTACCCTCCACACACTGACAACTTGGGAGCAGGCTTGCTCTGCAAAAGTGGGGGTGGCAGCATAAGACTCCTGTGGGTGACAACAGCAGAAAGTGTTCCCAAAGTGGCACCCTGTGGACTGGCACTTCCTGGAGGTTCTGCACTGTCCTGCTCCACCCTTTGGGATCCTCCTCTAGCTGCAAAGGCCACAAAAACATTCCCATGTTTGCAGAACTCGGCCCCTGCTGTCCTCTGGCAGAGTGCTGAATGCAAAGCCTAGGACCTCAGAGCCTCATTATGCAGTATTTTAGTCCTGAATCTGGCTCCTGGGTCCTTTAACCATTAATGTGAACTGTGCAGAGTCAAGGGAGGCCCTTAAGGGAGAAGCCAGGCAGGTTGAGGGGTGTCTGCCCCTAATTCAGCTAAGTTCCCCTCATCCTGGTGTTGGATCCCTGCAGGCAGCCAGCAGGAGTCCAGATTATCTTCTCCTGCAAAAGGGCCCATGCGCTTGTCCTGTTGCTCACCTCACTGCTTCTTGTCTGCTCGGAGGACCACAGCTCCTAGGTTGCAAGCAGCCACAAAGTCCTACAAGGTTCAGTCAAGAATGCAATTGGTGCATACGTACAGGCAATTACGTAATAAGTTCAGGTGCTGTGGTCCTGCCCTCTCCTGCTGAGATGACTAACTGCGTGGAATGGCACACCTGCAAAGAGAACACAGCACAAGGACAGGATGGGGGATAGAACAGGGGGACTGGGAACCAGTGACTTTGGGCTCTATTCCTGATCCTCTTGGATGATCTTGGGCAAGTCCACTCCTTTCTGGGTCTCAGTTTTCCCACCTATGAAGTGGGGGTAATGACACTCACCTTCCAGTGGAGCAGAACTGGGGTCAGGGATCAGGAGGGTTTAATTTATGTTTGAAAAGTACTTTGAAATCCCCAGGAAAGATGGCAGAGGCAGGCCCAGGTCTGTATCAGCCCCTGTGTGTTGGGATGCAGCAGTTTCACGCCAGATGTTGGTGCATTTTCCATGAGCCTAATTTGTGCAGCAAGCTGCAGCCAAAGGACCACAACTGAGAGAAGCTTCTGGCAAGAGCCACTGCCCTGGCCCCTCCTCCTGGATCAACAGCCACTCACTGATCACAGCCTTTAGGTCGCTGCTTCTCTCGTCTCCTCTTGCCTTGGCCCTTGGGTCTCCTCCTTCAAAAGGAAAGGGGGAAAATAAGAGGCTGATTGGATGGGAGATGAGCCAGGGCTGAGGAGCCCAAACTCCAGAATCCCTGCTAATACTGCTTACCTTCCTAACTTCATTGTAGTCCGCCGAGGCCTAGAGGAGAGAGTAAAATGGAGAGAGTAAAACGATCACACCACAGATGTGGCATCTGCAGAGTGCCTAGGTACTGGTGGAGGATGGAATGCTAGGAAAATACCAAGGGCTCCACAGGATGGAATCACATCCTAACTGACAGACTGCCCGCCAGAACTCCACTGCATGGGCTCCACCCCCTTGCAATAAAGTATTGATATCATTGGCAAAAGGATGGCTTGTGGCCAGGAACGTTCAGAAAGCATTTAATGCAGTATAGCATCTTTCAGTCTATAGAGTTCTTCGAGATAAGGGAGAAGCCAGAACACAGCCCAGATGAGGAACTAGAGTGAGGGTCAGAAATGAAGGCAAACATAGTGGCCATTAGTTTTTGGGAGTCCAAACTGACATCCCCAGTGCTTGATTTGCTGATGTGCTAAATACCCACAACTTCAGCTGGAGGCAACAGGGACTGTAGTTGCTCCACACCTCTCAAAATCAGGCCCCGGGGTGTCTCAGTTTGAACTCCTACCATTGAGGCACCCAAAACCAGAGGCCACTTTTGAAAATCTGGCTTGACTCATTCTTCAGCAGCAGAGCTTCTTGGCAAGCTGGAAAACAATGCAGTTCTGGCACAGCCTCTATGTTTGTGAGAGCCAGGCCACTAGATGGTGCAGGAGAGCCACTAAGCAAGGGGACCATAGTGACCTGCCAACCCCAGGGTTATGGAAGTGACATGCTGGGGACCTTCCTGCTGCTGCATAACTCCCTGTGGTGGAGAAGGGTGAGCCTGGCTGGGCCATACCTGCACTCGCACTGCCTGTGCTCAGTAAAGGACAGCTCCACATAGGGCACCTGCCCCGCTGGCTTCATCTTCAGGAGCTGAAAAGGAACAAAAGATCTTCCCTAGATCTTCATAGAAAAGCTGATTCATCATTCCCTTTCCCTCTGCTCCTTGCTAGGGTGGTGCGCTGATCTCAGACACTTCAGGTGGTGCTGGGGGAGGTCTAAGGAGTGAGAGGGCGACCTCCTGAGGCAGTGGGAAAGGATAGAGGCTTCATGGTCCACCCCTGCACTCCAAGATTCCCCACCCAAAGAATGCATGGTCCCTGTAGGATGGGTGCAGCAGTGCCTGAAAACAGTGCTTTGTCATTCCCATTCTCCTGTCTGCCTGCCATTGGCATCGCCCTCGGCCTCTCCAGCCTGACAGGCTTATGATGCCCACGGGGAACAAGGATCTTGGGATGCCCATTCAATCACTAGCTGTAAAAGGTGATGGGTGGGTGGTCCAGCATCCCCAGAGACACCTCTGGTTATGACGAGAGGGGCGGAGAAAAAACAGAACCAGAGATGCAGGGAATAGTTTTGCTGCAATTTCAGGACAGTATCTGCTTCACCCCACCAGGGGACACCACCCTTCACAGGGACAACAAACTCCTCTCCCACACCCACACAGATACGTGCGCAGTGTCAGCTCTCTGTGTTTGTAACTGCAGGTTCGAAGAAGATGAGACCTTCAAGGAAAGTCATAAAAGGGAATGCAGCAAAGAGCCAGTGAGGGGAGCACTGGCCCAGCCCATGCACCTCCTGGAGCGAGGCACAGATGTGGGGAAAAAGACGGAGCAGAGTCCGGGGGCATGTTAGGAATGACTCGACGTCTGACTCACTGTGACCTGGGGAAGTCAGATAACCTCTCTGTGCCTTAATTTCCCATGTTTGTGTGACACCCTGACCTTGTGAAGTCATACCAATACTTGACTTAGCTGCCAGGAAAGGAGCCCATAGCCCTGCACTGTGAGCTGAGCCCACCTGGCTCTTACCTGCATGGTGATGTTGGCTGTCTCCACTGGGACACACTGCAGTGTCTCATCTCCACAGCAGCCAGTGCAGCGTTGCAGGGAAATACAGGAAGGGCTGAACATGTGCTCCATCTCACTGGGGTACTCGGACACAATATCCACCAGCATTTCCAAGGGCCGACAGAAGCTGCGCCCCCAAACCTCCTGGAAGGGCAGTACTGGAAGAGATGAAGGGGAGAGGGCTATAACTCATGCCCAGAAGATGCCTGCTGACCTGTTCCCTTGGGCCTTCACTAAACAGTGGAGTTATTGGCTGAGTCTGGGAGGCCTGCTATGTGCCTGGCACAGGCATCAAAGCAAAACCCATTGTGTGTCCCAAATGTAGTGGGCAGCTCTCAGCAATATGACTCTCTTTCCAGGCTAACAGATCCATTTTCTCCTCTTTGAGCTGTTCCATCTGTTGCTCTCCTCCGGTCTCCTCTGTCATGTGCTGAGCTGGAGGCAGAACATTTTTCATCTCCAGACACTGATAAAATCTCCATTTGTTATGCAGAAATGGTGCTCCACACCCTAGCTAAAACAACAGCCCAGTTTTTTCTAGAAGCCCAATTCTGGACTCCCTCTAAAAGTCACCAAGCAATTCTGATCGTCCTTAAAACTAGGGAACGAGTCCCGGAATAGTGGTTGGATTTTTCTGGAAAATTATGTGTCATTTGGAAAAGATGGGGAGATAGCGTCCCGATATGGGACAGCCCAAAAACTAGTGTTTGTTATAGGAGCTGCCACACTGAATCAGAGCAGTTTTCTGGCTAGATCACTCTACTGTCTCCACATTGGCCAGTACCAGATAGATCACTGTTGGTGGCAGTTGCAGGCTAGTCAGTCCCCAGGGGCAAGTATCCTTCTAACCCCAAATAGTTACATGTTGGCTCATGCCCTGAAGAATGATGGCTTATAGTGCCCAAAACCTTGTTACAGGAAAAGCTGCCACAGAGCTCAACTTGGAATGTTTCAGTCATCTGACATTCCAAAAAAATAAAAACAAAAAGGAAAACCTGCTTGGGGTCCAACAAATTATTGCAGTTCAGTTTTTTCACTGTTTACTTTTTAAAAAATTAAATGGACGTGAAAGTCTAAATGAAAAGTCAAAATCTTCTGCCTGAAAATGTCCATATGAAATGTGTTTGTTTGCACCAATTTTTTAACTGAAATAATTCAGCAAATTCAAAGCTAATTTACAAAACATTTTGGTCAAAAATAAATTTCACCTAAAGAATTCTGCTCAGTTCTGATCCTGCTCTTTCCCAGAAAAGGGGCTGCCCTGTTGGCACTCATCAGTTCTGAAGAAGGCTGGATAAGCATCTTCCCAGAGTGCAGTAGTGTGGGTGTCTTGGGGAACTAACTTCTTGGGGGGGGTCAGAGGAGCCATTTTCCCCAATACATTTTCTATGTGTACTCCTCTGTCTCCCCCCAATGACTTATGATAGTCCCAATCTGATTCCCCATAGGCCATGTTTTATCACCTACCTCTGAAGCCTGCCGCCCCTTCCCTGGGGTCTGTCTCCTCCTCTGGGATTAGTGGACATGAGGGGATCCCCAGGCTCCCCGGGCAGGGAGAAGAAGAGAGAGAATTCCAGAGCCCACCGGAGATCTAATATTCTCACATACAGCCAGGAGAACCAGCTACAGACTCACCTTGCGCTTCTGAGGTAATATTTCTGCTGAATCTGTCCCACTGCTGGGAGAGAAATGCAGAGACATTTAGAAAGAGGCAGTGGGGAATAAGCAAAGTGCAGCAAACCCCCACCCATTCTCACCTATCTGCATGCATCATTCACCCACCTACCCATCCACTGTACTTGGCCCTTCCAGCTCAGATCTGTTGTGGAGCATTTGGAGGTATACATGGAGAAGCAGGAAGACAACTGAGCTAATAAATAATAATGATAATAAATAGCATAGAATTATAGGCCTAGAGGGGACCTCATCCAGTCCAATCCGCAGCACTCATGGCAGGAGTGAGTGTTATCTAGCATGTTTATAGCTGTTGTGGATCCGCAAGAGATTGTTTCACTCACCACTTAATGTGGTGACCTTTGAAGTATAATGTGGCAGCTGTATAAGAGCGGCCATTGGTGAAGTTAATTTTAAAACTACTGTAGATTGAGTGCAACACAACAGGGACCGACTCTGCCCTGGCTCCCAGGAGATGGGCTAGGTGGGACATTATTCACTAAACAACAGCTAAGGAGGTTGTGGGAAGGTGAAGACTTTGTGTAACTTCAAACTGCAGGAGGCAGAAGAAACCCAGGCTGACATCTCAGCTCCTATCCAACATGCCATGGGATCCAATAACCACACACGGTCAGCATGTCAGTTTACCTCTCATCCATATAACACCTACCACCCTACCCCCAGTCCTGCCAGGCTGGGGCCTAGGGTCAATACTGGATTAAAATGGAGCCCAACACTGCAAGGAAAGAACTCCCCCTACTGAGTCCCCAGCACTCCTTCTCCCTTTCCTGAGCTAGTTGAGTGTCTCAATACCCCAATCATCATGATGCCAGGGATGTAAAAACTGCCTAAAATAGTTAACTGGTTAAACAGCATGTTTAACTGGTTAACCACTGATCACAGACAGCAAAGGCTGCTCCAGCCCCATGGGCTGGGGGCTGCTCTGTCCCCTCAGGTCTGTCACAGTCAGGGTCCTGCTGGCCGGGCTGCTCCTGCTAGCTGAGCCCTTTGATTAACCAGTAAGTATGCTTATGCTAATGCTTACAGGGTAACCAGGTAACCATTTAACCTTTTACATCCCTACATGATGCTGTCTGAGCCCCATCTGATTCCCTTCTGCCAGCTCACAGCATGTTGTCATCTGCCCTTCTGGACTCATTCAGGGGCCAGGTATATCTGGGATGTGCCATGCGTATCTGGGATGCTGTATAAATCCGAATTCCTCCAAGCCATGCTCTGGGTTTCCTTTGCAGGGGGAGGAGGGGCTTTGCCATCTAAATGCTGACCAAGGCTGCCCCACTGTGATGGACGGGTAGCACAAAGTGGGCTGGCTGCAGCAGGTATGAGTAGCCCAGATCAGCTGACAGACACTTAGCAGAAGCAAATCACAGGGGTATCAGCTGGGATGGACTTTTCCTCAATGGCAAATGTTTGAAACCAAAAATCAAAGCAAATTAATATATGCTTAAAAAGAGGAAATACCTCCCCTCATCTCCTGGGCTGGGCTGGGCTTCCTCCCACCCCTGGGTACTCAATCAATTACTTAGACTTTCTCAGAGAAGCTGTACAAGGGAGGGGCACTGTTAAGACCTCATTTGCTGGAGAGCAGATGGTGTTCTTGCATCAGGCCACATCCCTGCTTCAGTGCAGTAATGCTCTGCTGCCTTGCTGGTCACAGCACATGCCCTGGGACTCAGCATCCATGGGATATGTGGCTCTGGTAGGGGGTCTGGGAAGATGAGTCTCCCACTTGTCTTTCAGCAGATAGGAAACTCTCTGCTGTTGTTCCTGGGAGCAGAGGGCTCTTCCATGGGATTTGCCAGGTGTAGGAGGGTACCTGGGGCTCAGAGTTCACCCGGCTGCTTTGACACCTGTCCCGCACCATGGGACTGCTCTCCTGGGCGAACAGCTCACAGTCTTCTCCAGACACTTTCAGCTGAAGAGCAGTCGCTGGACTGTCTGCAAGCTGCAGACCCATTGCAGCTTTCCTACAATATTGGCACTTCCCCTCTTCTCACAGGATGTAACCTGGGAGTTTATTTTTCCTGGACATAAGATGGAGCCAGCCTTATCATCAGAGAGCATCTGAGATACTGATCTTCTACCCCCTCCCCCCCAGTTGTCGGCCAGCCCAGCAGGATCTCAGTCAGCCTCCTCTTCTTGTGCAAAGGGAGGTCCCAAGGAACAAGGGGTCACTCACAACTCAGAGACTGGGGAGGGTTAGTAGTGGGACAACCCGAGAACAGCTCCTCAGACTGATCTCCACTCTGCAACTGTCCTGCCAAGTACACTACAGGGGCCATTCCTCAGCAGTTCTCTAGTCCCACAGTGATGCAAGAGGGTAACGGGGCTTGGGACCATTACACCAGGATCCCTGAGGACTTTCCCACGGCTAGTGCCCTCTCTGTTCCCCCAGACCCATTATGGGGGTGCAAGAAGCTGCGGTCCCTCACCTGAGCGGGTGGTGCCTGCAGCGCGAGAGCCACAAGAAGTCTCAAGAAGCTGCCGAGAAGCTGCATCACTGGTTCTGCCTCCTCAGTTTTGCCCAAGTGAAGAGTCCCGTGGCCCAGCTAACACAAACATGCTGCCCCGCGGGAGATTCCAGTGCGGGGGGACGGCGGAGCGACCCCCTGGCTGTGGCGCTCCCAGGACCCGGTCACAATCCAGGACCCGAGCGTCCCCAGCACAGCACCCGTGGATCCAATGACAGCAGCTTAGCCCTGGGAGAGGCTGTGTCCTGCAGGCGATGCTGGCCCGTCGCCAGGAGATGGGAGGACAGCGCTACAGAGCCCCGAGTAGCATGGGTCTTGGGGACAAGGGGCGCAGATCGCCGAGGTGCTCGTCCTGGGACACTGACACCACCTCTGCCCCGCTCAATCGCCGCACCCAAGCCCCCTCCTGCTCCTGCACTGGCGCCCCCCTGCACCCAGCAGCTGCTCTCCAGCCATGTGAATGCTGCCCTGCCGGCTCCGCAGCTCTGTTTCATGAGCAGCAGGCTCCGCCCAAGCCCCTCCCCACCTCACACCCTCACTCCCACTTTCTCTTCCTCCGAGACCGCACAAAGCGGCGCTGCATCCTCCGGACTTCCGAGCCCTGCAGACTCCAGCTGTCCGCCTGCTTCCTCTGGTTGTGCATCAGCGGCCCCGCGTGCCCCGGCGGGGCTCTGGGTGCTCACCCACAGGTGCGCGCGCGTCACTGGGCAGGGGCTGCTGGGAG